CGAATATGTCTGTTCATTTGTTTAAGAAAACTCTATGTTTTGTTCACAAGTAGACGGTGTTTGTGTGACCAAGTCTCAGACATACTTTTACATTTGATCAAATTCAAAACGTCAGAAAATATCCAGTGTCAATTATTTACACAGATTCAACAGTCCACTTAAGACACATTTGTGATGCAAATTATATGAATTGATCACTGTAAATCAGTGATGACACCAGGTGTTCGCAAAAAGGGCAACGTTCTCATATTAAGAAAATAACGTTCTCATTTCAAGAAACTGAACAATGTATGTAATTCCAAAACATTTTTAGTTCCGTTTCAGAGAGCAACAATTACGTATGAGATTTGTATGTGTACAATTGTAACTATTAATAAGTTAAGACAATAAAAATCTTACTAATATATTGATAGTATATATTATACAATGTGTAAAAATCTGTATCATTCGGAACATGTTTATTATCCATTAAAAGCAGAGAAACAATGATGAGATGCCAGGTTTTGCACTATCTTGTATTGCTTCTTCTGTTTACAAGCAGAGGCTAATATTCTTCCTTTATTAACATCAGTCGGAGACTGTCCGTCTAAGCGACCTGTGAGAACTAGAATTTGAAATCACTTCATATTGTTTGTAGAAATAGCTGAGTACACCCCATTTGTTAATTGACTTGGGAATCGGTGATAAGTGTTTATTGTTCTGTTTATTGCTATTATTGCTTCTGGTCTCAGCGCATGCACAGCGCGGCGGAAACAAACGCCACTAGACAGTAGAGGGGTGACTCTCACACGGATATGTTGGTACAGTGTTTCTGATTAACTGGTTTCTTGCAATATTTCACTTAACCATTTGACTTTACACAATATAAATGTATATATAGTTGAGTAAGAATCAAGTTAAGGGAAGTCATATGCTTTTGTTTCAAATGCATAAATGATTACCACTCGAATTTAAAATTTAAAATTATCTGAAAACAATGTTATTTCATTTACTTGCTCCAGAGCTTAAATTAATTTTGTAAATATATTGTAAATATTTTGTAAATATTACAGTCCACTGTAATGTGTTGTCTTTCTTATTTTTATTTGTAATAATATGTCTTGGTATTGTGACTGTATTGTATAAAGGGGGCTCACCCTTTTCTACAACACCTGGTGTCATCACTGATTTTCAGTGATCCATTCATATAATTTTTCACCGTTATTTTGCCCTGATGGAATCTGTTTCCGGGGGTGGTTATTCTCTGGCGTTGACGTTTTATATTTCAAGTATTTTTTATGCAGCTTACCCAATCAAGTTAAAGTTTGCATTTCAATCGAATGTATAAAACAAAACAATCCTTAAATGTCAAATTAAAGACGGCATCAAGAATTCGCAACACAGGAATTCTATCTGATATCTCGACAAAAGAAAAAGGTTTCGTCTCACGCGATTATGATGTAATTAAGATTACATCATGTGTTATGTGATGTTCTGTCGTATCCGTAACATGCGTTACGGGGCCTATGTCCTGTCAAACCCGTAAAACATGTCACGTAAATTACTGTGTCCTGCCGTACCCGTAACAATCACACAAGGCAAGTGTCCTGCCCTTCCGTAACACACAATGCATGTCTTGTCGTACCCTTAACACACGGCACACAAAGTCTATGTCCTGTCGTACTCGTAACAGTCTGTACACAATGCGTATGCCCTACCGTGCCCGTAACATACGTCACACAAGACATGTATCCTGCCGTATCCGTATCACACGTCACACAAGACTATGTTCTGCCGTACCCGTAACACAAGTCACACAAGACATATGTCCTATCGTACCCGTAACACAAGTCACACAAGACATATGACCTATCGTACCCGTAACACAAGTCACACAAGACATATGTCCTATCGTACCCGTAACACAAGTCACACAAGACATATGTCTATCGTACCCGTAACACAAGTCACACAAGACATATGTCTATCGTACCCGTAACACAAGTCACACAAGACATATGTCCTATCGTACCCGTAACACAAGTCACACAAGACATATGTCTATCGTACCCGTAACACAAGTCACACAAGACATATGTCTATCGTACCCGTAACACAAGTCACACAAGACATATGTCCTACCGTACCCGTAACACACGTCACACAAGACATATGTCCTACCGTACCCGTAACACAAGTCACACAAGACATATGTCCTACCGTACCCGTAACACAAGTCATACAAGACATATGACCTATCGTACCCGTAACACACGTCACACAAGACATATGTCTATCGTACCCGTAACACAAGTCACACAAGACATATGTCCTACCGTACCCGTAACACAAGTCACACAAGACATATGTCCTACCGTACCCGTAACACACGTCACACAAGACATATGTCCTACCGTACCCGTAACACACTGCACACAGTACGTATGTCCTTCTGTACCGTATCACACGTCACAAAAAGTCTCTCTCCCCCCGCACCGTTACACACGTCACACAAGACATATATCATACCGTATCCGTAACACATGTCACACAAGGCCTTCATTCTGCCGTGCCCGTATTAAACGTCACACAAGTCTATCTACATCCGTACCGTAACACACGTCACACACCCAGGTGTGTAGTAACCGAAAAAAACCTAGAACACATACAAAACGGTTTTGTTGTGATGTCAGTTTTTTTTTAAATTTCAATCATTAAACTATTTCAAATAGAATGTGCCTAAGTAATCGCAGACACGGTGTATTTTTATGCAAGTGGTATCTGGGAAACCCGAAGTAAATGTATACTGACAACCCGTTAGACCATCAGATGCAGCACATTGGTATCCCCTCGTCTGTTTACCTTTGCCCAGGAAACCATCATTGATTTCAACCAGGTTGGGCAGTAATTGTCCTTCTAGATTTCTCGACATTTACCATGCATCCACTCCTCAAGTCAATAATTCTTTCTCATGCAACCTAATATGGGTGTTGAAGAAAAATTAATATTTTCATTGAAGAAATGATACCCAAAATTGTATGACAAGTCTAAAAAATATTTTTTTCATGTTCAATACATATTACGGTTTAATTCGTTTTTACATCTAATTGAAAGAATATTTCTGCCATCGGATAGTCGTCATTGCAGCAATTAGTGTGTTTTATTATGTATTCGTACCATGTAACTGTTTATACAGAATCACGCGTAATATGATAGTCCATTTAAGTTTCAACACGTGGTCATCACTGCAACATTTTTTTCTGAGGGAGTGTAGTTTTCATATATTGTTGTAAAGTTTAAAGTTCATGCTGCAGCTATTCTGTGCGATCCTCTATCACAAGCCATATGGGAATACCACGTTGTTATGAATCATACAGTCTTGACCTCAGACATAATCAGATTATTTTATCCGTGTCTCGTCCAGATGATCTGTTCATCTTTCATATAAGCTCTTGTATAACTGTCTGTGTTTGCTTTGCTTTTGAAATAAGCCTCAAAAAGCATGTATTTCCTAGCAGGGTTGTCTATATCACGACATGGACATGTATATTGAAATACCTCCCTACTGGAAGGTATTTCAGATATACATGCTAGTCAGTGTTTGTATATTATCCCGTGTAGACGGCTAACGGCAAATGATGACCGAGAGATTGCCAGATTGTGTAATTCAGTCTTGTTAATGGCATGTATATTATGTACTACATATTTGCATCACTTGAACTAAATACAGATGGGCTGCATTATGTTAAGTGTTGGTGATATACATTTTGTAAATTATGTTTAAAATTATTATATAAAAATGAAAATTGATTTAAGCATTGGTTCATTAAAAATGGATAAACACATAAGAAAATAGATTAGAAACGTGAACAAGTTATATTTCTAAGTGATTTTTAGTTCACTTATTGAAATTAATTTGTCTTAATGAAATCTATTTTCTTGTGCGGTGTGGAGACAAAAATATCGTCTAAAATACTGCTCCAAATAAAAAAAGATATACTATCTTCGTATTGCATAGTGTGTGCACGGCTCAAGGCAGTTGTCTATTTTATCAAATGAATTGCTGGAGGTTTATCTAAAGCATACACTGTTAACGCGCAGAATTATACAAACAAAAAACTCGTGAAAACCTAAAAATACGCAATTCCTCATTGCAATGCTGTTCAGTTTGACTCCTTTCAACACATTTTGAATGGAGGCATTTTGACGATTACATGTGATATGGGCCCCTTATACTGTTTGTGTATTTTAATTGAATTCGATGTGTATTTCAGACAAACATTAATATGACACCTTTAAAAATTATCAAATATCGCTCCGCACATGAATATTTAATAAAATTGACTTTCGGACAAATATTTTTTTTCTAGCAACAGTTATGTAATTATATTTATTTCTTTTGGCTGGCATTAATCATATAAATAAATACAAAATATCATAATATCTGGATTATTTCTATATACAAGAAACAACGCTTTCGCAATATGTTCGCTGAAAAAAATAATGAATTGACAATCAAACTTTTGAAAATTATTCATAATGTTTCAATTAAAAATGACGACTTAAAATATTAAATCTTTCAAGTCGCCCAACTATTTTCGATTGACGCCGGGAACAAGGCAGGCGATTACCCGTTAAATACGCTCCGGTCCACTAATGCGGCCCATATACTATAAGACAACCTCCTACCCATAACACACTCTCCCCCACACAAACGTAGTCCGGCTACAATAAACCCTTCACTCTACCCCAAATCCCCTCCCCATGCCGAGACAAGAGCGTTAACATTGAGCCTACCACGTACTCCCAACAAGGGGACTAGGACCGCGGTGGGTATATCAAACCTGCAAGTATTTTATCAAAGAAAACAAACCAACTCCTGTCTGTCATAAAAGTGACACGGCACTGACTGGCATATTAAAACTATGTTTCAACTAGGGCGATGTTTACACAGCTTTTAACCAATAGGAGGCTAGGTCTGAGGCACGGAGTGGGGTTGGGAGCGGGTTGAGCCAATTATGAGAGTGTTTCCAGGCTGTTACAGGCGCGTGGTCAACCCCTTCTCTTCAAGTGGGCGGGTCTAAGGGTTTACAATTAACTAAATAACAGATATCTGCTACACTCGCGAGGTGACGAGTTTAGACCCAGCATATCTCGCCATGAACTCGGTCACGCTCTACCCCATTACGGAAAGGGGGTCCCGGAAGCCCAAATGTGCTCGTTGTAGAAATCATGGAATGGTATCCTGGCTGAAAGGACACAAACGACACTGCAGATACAAGGACTGTACTTGTCCAAAATGCAATCTGATCGCTGAACGACAAAGGGTCATGGCTGCTCAGGTGGCTCTGAAGAGGCAACAAGCTGCAGAAGATGCTATTGCTCTTGGTCTTCGAGCTTGTGTCAGTGAAACCAACTTGCCCATCATGACATCGGGGCCCCTCTGGGGTCCTGGGACGGTGACAGAGCCAGAGGTGTCCGAGAGGATGAAAGAAGCTGGCAGAGACGAGGAGGTTATGTCCGATATAGGTAGGTCTGCTGTTTTTTTAAGTAGATATGACGCTCCGTGGGACTATGGGGACATAGTCTGTCAAACACGCTGCCGAGTCGTGATACACCCCACAAAAGTATAACATTGCCAAATGCTTGTTATATATCACCGTATTACTAAATAATCCTCAAAGGTATAAAATTGCTAATTTGTTGTTATTTATCATCACCATATAACCATTAAACAACAGAAGTATAAAAATTGCAATTACAAACCATGGTCTCAGGCCACAGAACCCTCAGAGGTGTAGCATTGCCAAAGGTTCGAATCTTGTCAACTTTTGTTCTTCATTCAGGACAGAACATCTTGCTTCAGAAGGCATAGGTGATGGTAGTTACACACATGTATTTCACTGACAATGTTCCTCTTAAGATTAAATCCACCATATAACCTACAAGCGTATGAAATGTCATGGATTCAAAATACTTGTCAGTTTGTTATAATAAATTAGAATAAAATTCCTACGGTATTGATCGTCTTGCTGTCTATAAAATACGAGTATTAAAATACGAGTATCTTACTATTCATGTTCCTGTATTAAGTTATGATGACTTTTGGGTTAGTTCTTTCTAAGATTTTAATTTTATGATTCTTAATATCAGGACATTGAAATAGATAATAATATTCTACCAAATAGGGCATCTATTTGCAAACTTCAGATCACACTGATTCGTAGCGTAAACGCGCGATTTATTTCATTGATGCCTTAATTTCACGGACATTTCAGGGAAAATGCAATGCTTCTTTGTGAAAGAGTTAAAAAATAAAGCAGCACATTTAATCAAGGAAGAGTAATAAAGGATTTTTTAAAAGACTTATCAGATACACTATGAATTAATAATGAACGATACCCTTATTCTGTCATACACTTAATTCATAGATCTAATATATTTATAGAGATAAATATTAAAAACTGAAACAACAGGAATGAACAATCCCTACCTTTCACTTCTACCAGGAACTTAAAGCATGACAACGGCACAGTGAACTGTGAGATTTATCCTTTGTCATTTGTGACAGTGGGTTATGTCCATTATAATCTAGGTCACAGCTCTAAATCTCAAAGTCAACAAAGGCTTAAGAGGCTACCAGGTTCATCATTTGATCCAAAGTCATCGGGCTATTTGTTCACTTTTTAGAAAAAATATGATTCCTTGCTTATTTTTAAAACCTTCTCCGCACTCTTCAAATTTTGAGCGCTTTTTATTATCCGATAGCCGTATGTGATTTTTCATCATTTATCAATATCATTTCAAATACAAATAAAATACAAACAGATAATTTGTACACAAAAATGAATTTCAAATAAAATATATTTTCTGAACTGCTCTTTTTCATCTTCAACATGCTGTGGTATTAACGACAGATGGCTATTATATTTTTTATAATGCTTTTACATTTCATGTATTATAGAATATAACGGATTCTGCCTGTTCGTTGTAATTGTTCTACATGTTGAAATACAAATGATATGCCTTCTTAATATGTATTTTGTTAATACAGAATTAGATTCATATATCCCCAAGAGAGTACCAATTTTGTTGTGAGACATGTTCTTATCAAAAACACTTAATGTATAATTCAAAGTAGTTGTGATAAATGTTTCTTATATTTACATTTTCTTGAAAGGTTGTAGGATCTTGTAATTACAATTTTTCATAATTGCTAAAAATATATTATTTGATCAACACATTATATTGTGATACCACGCGCATCTTGTATACAAGAATATACTTTAAACACCAGATAATAAAGCAAAGACTATTCATTCGATTTTGTTTCTTCTCACCAACCGGACACTACTATCAGGAATTTAAATGTATTTGTATATATTTCGGAAAACGACTAATAGAAAAGATAAAACTGTTAATACTTTTATTGATACGGAAATGATATTTAGATGTTGAGTGTCTTTATATAAATCAACAGGAAAAATTAAATTTACTGTGTGCAATAGGAAAATATCCCATTGGGCCTATGTTTCAGATTATGCCCGCCAATTTATTTCTTTGTGTTCGAGTGAAACAATGAAAATGTCTCTTCTTTTAGTTAAGTAGAAATAGTAAGTATTTTTCATATTTTTTTTATCCCTTTCCCGTGAATGTTTTAATAGTTTTACTTGAATACCAGTAATAGACGACATGAAAACACAACCGTATAGTAAGGCTGCCTTTCTGTATTACTAAAGTGTTCTGTAATAGTGTAGAAAAATACATCAGATGAACATATGAAAATTATCTTCGTTGATTGAAATATGTTCTAGCATGAATTAGACAAAAACCCATTCTTCCTTTAAACCTTAAAATCACAACACAAATGTTATTCAAGATTGTCAAAATACCTAAGCCCCTTAATGTACCCTATGAGACCCCTTTGGCATCTGAACTGTAACAGTGTTATTACAAATACAGGCATATGAACATGAACAAAATAAACGGTCCATGGATATCAACTTCTTTATTGTATCTAACGACGTTTCAGGGTTATGTTTTCAGGGTCATGAAGTGGCCCTGAAGCGTCCTAATACGAATGTGTCATGTCTTCGCCTCCTAATAATTTGTAAATGTCAATAATAGACTTCAGTATATTTGTTTACGAAATGGTAGTAAATGACTTATTTTTGAAACTATTCCTGTCAAACATGTCGTGTTTAGACCAGGTATCGTTTCCACCAGCAAATATAAGGATTAATCACCAAACATTGAAACCCGTGGGTCGCCAACTCGCCCCGTCTTGCTATGTGCTTAGGGGCCATCAGCACCCTTCGTGGAGCAATCTGTCAATATATTTACTCTTAACAAGCCTATGTCAAAGTCAGACTAGGTGTATTTGAATGTGGACTCACTGACAATAGAAAGCACAGTGTGAAATTAACTCCTGTCTGTGACGTGTTTATTTTGAATTAATTAATGCAGTAAGTTAGATTCAAGCCACGAAATGACGAGACGTGGACAGACGGAAGGGTGGGGTTGAGCGATGACCGCTGGTCATTTAACAAATTAACGCATATCATCATCTCTTGTGTTCGTGATGATGCGAGGGATACGAACAATATGTGGGTAGCTTAGAATAACGCCAGGGGCTCTGTGAAAATTAACACTGTGTTGAAGTTGTCCACTTAACTTGGGAAGTTTGGGAGGCAAAGAAAAGGAAGCTTTTGACATTTTTCGTCCTGGTATACCCTTCACGGGCAGATGGTTGGAACTGTTGGCAGAGGTCGCGTTAATACAAGGACGTTCAAGTAGATGTAACAACAGAATATACTGTTGATTGTTACAACGATGTGGGGAGAGAAATAGGAACTCCCTCTTGAACTCTTTTTGTGTGGTAGCACTTGTAACAAATGTTTTCGAGGCATATGAGTGGATTTGTCTAAACACCCTTAACTGGATCACATATGAAGGTCAAAAGAACCACGCAAATCTCAGGCTTTTGTTCCTATAGTTAATGGTCACAAAATGCCAGTAATAAATATCAGTGTTTGGGGTTAATATTCTTCTTGAATTTGGCATTTCTTGATATTTCCTTTGCAGTTATATAGTTTTCAATTTTTCAAACATATTTTACTATAGATTTGTTTCTTATTACTAGCGGCTGTGATCTGTTCGTTGTGTTTTCAGTGTGCTGAAACCTTTCATTGACATGTTTCACTGGTTACTGATAATGGGTATCAATATTGAAGATAGGATCTTTGGGATCAGTTAAACTTACATGGTAGAGGAATATCAACTCTGTAATAATTCTTCTTCAAGTGAAAAACATCCTTTGTTGAGGCTATAACAAGTAGTATGGTGAAAAAGTCAAAGGTGCTGGCATTTTATACACAGACACTCGAGTCAGGATCTAACACACGCTACATGCATCTTGGGAAATTGGCTACCAACAACCAAAGATTCTCACACATACTCCATGCAAGGAATTTTCCTCAAATCTTTTCATGTAGCATTCAACAGTAACCCATGGAAGTATCAACTTGGAGCATTCACTCCGATATAAGCGCCTTCCCCTCTCGATGGGGAGGGACCCGGTGAATAGCCCTTGTTCCGGCGCCGAAACTACCAACACCAAAAACAATGGAACCGCCGACTGTCTTGGAGATTTGTCTCGAGAATTTCTTGTCGAAAGTTTTAACCGGATTTGCTCCCATGACGTTAGATTGATTCGAATTTATGCCATATGCTGGAACAGTTAGTTTTGCATTGTTTCACATTCCCAGAATATTACCCCCTTTCCGTGGCAATGCCTGGCCACCGTGGTAGCTCCTGTGCCCGGCGCCGTGACGCCTGGGGGAGGAAATACGGAGTCATGGGGAACGTAACGTTGGAATTAGCCAAGCATTAGAACATGCAGTCATATTGACTTAGGTTGTGACAATATATGGGGAGACGGAGACGGACTGCCTGTGTTTGAGGGTTATGTAAGAAGTACCTGCACAGTCAGGTGTTGGTGGCTAGAAGGTCAACGTGTGACGGTTTACTCGGAAATGGCTATTTGATAATTGCTACTTAAATTAGGCATTTTGTAATGTTACTTTGTTGTGTTGCAGTATTTTCGGAACTGATGTTATTTGTTGATTGCAATTAAGCGTCTCTGAGGTCAGGAAGAACAAATATGTTGGATCGGAAGGAATAGTACATTGACTGATAAGATATATGTATTTGCACATAGATTGAGCGTGTCAGATGGTTCTTTAACAAGGATATCTTTTATAATTACATTTTATGATGCACGATTAATTTTATAGATTTAATTATATATGTTTTGAATATAAGCTGTCGGATTGTGATTGGTAAATGGGATAATTCCTGAAGCTTTATCGATGTATCTAAATCTCACCAAACAAATTCTCTACACCATTCTGCGGACTTTCCTATGCTGAAAGCCCCAAACCAAAACATTTTCTTCCTTATATGTAAAATAACTCTCATTGTAAAACAATATATTCTCATTTCATTGCATATATTTGAACTGATTGTAAAATAATCACCAGAATGTATTGTAACAAATTTTGTTCGCTCATTCTGGCATGTTGAATATAAATCGATTAATATTTGTAGTATCATGTTAAAATTATTTTCATCTGAATATAAGAACGTGTAAAAGTGAATACCCAGGTTAGTCATGAAACTGATTTTTATGATGACATTTACAGTTAGGCCTCCAGACTTCCAGCAACCGATAAAGTAATATTTACAATTATGGTTATTAACGAGGGATCGTAAATTCCCATTATATTCATCAATAACTATGTAATTGTGTAGGCCTGCTGTCATGTGTTCATCTGGTCAAACCAACCGTTTCTGCAGACGGTATAGCCCATTGGATGTTTTTATTTGATAAAATGAAAAATAATAATATCAAATGATTCAATAATGTATAGATTGCAAGTGATTAGAAATGTCATCACGAGTGTACACATAGGTTTTTTTCTTCAAAAATATTTATTCCTCTTTTTATCATTTGATATATTTGAAAGTTTTAGATATGGTGAAGATCAATGCGTTTTAATGTATAAATAAATAAACAACTTATCATAGTTATTTTAGAACTATTTAATTTGTCCTTTTTATTACAACGTTTTATACAACAGTATGTCGTGATTAGTTCAAAAATGTGTTTCTTGCACTTAACAAATGGTTTTTTTCAGTTACCTCTTTTGTACTACAGAATTGAATATTCCATAATTTTGTTTAAATAACACACATTCTATTCTCTGAATGTTAAAAAATAAAAATGTTGATACCCTTTCAGTTGAAGCTCATTTTCAGATCAATTGCAATATTGAAATTCAATATCTGAACTTATTCTTGTCTTAATAACTTTAGCAAATACTTTCAAAAGCCGCAACAAGTATGGGCGAGTAAGATATCGTTTTTTCTTCATTAATAATATAGTGCAATATTGACCCTTTTTAAAGCTATTTCTTTCCCATTTACAGTGAGAATGGATTGTATGATTATAAGGCGCACGTGTATTTATACCAGTGTAAAAGAAAGCTTCGTACATAATATATGGCTTCGAAATATGTGGTTCATCTTAGTTTGTAAATAAATGTACGATACAATAGTATTCTGTTGTCTGTTTCTTCAGTGAACGTATTAGCACATATTATCAATGTTCTAAACACACGTGTGTGTCTGTCTGTATGTATGTCTGTTTTATTTATTGTCATTTATTATTAAAAATTCAATTTGAATTAAGATGAAAAATTTATCATTAACAAATCAATTTGAATAAAGATGGAAAACCTATTTTAAAAACAAAATTCTGTTTTTGAGTAAGTTTGTATTTTATACATTTCCAAACAATAATGGGTATACAGGTACTAGTCCTAGTTCAATTTCGTAACAGCAGAAATAAATAAAACTCATTATACAAACAGTACATAGAACTGGATTTAATAGCAAAGTGTGGAATAGATTTATACCTTTAAGACAGACAAAAACAAATGAGATTTGTGATATCAGATTTCTACACAAATACTGAAAAGTTTACATAAACAACACGTATCATTTCACTGGAATAATGAGCGGTTATTGAGAGTAAATGAATATCAATTAAGCGAAAAACATATCTGCAAGTCAACGCCAAATCAACTCTTCATAAAGTTGATCTGCAAATCTTTTAATTGACAGGACAGACAACATAGAGGTGAAATATAAACACTGTGTCTTTATGTTGGCACGCTTTGGAAAATGGGCCTCAAATTGGAAATTCTTGGAATCTTGTCACTGAAATAGCTTTCTGACACTCTCGCTCTAGCCGAGTAGTATCAATAATAAAAGTTTACTCTCCAAGCTCCTTGACAGGTTCTTGAAGACCCTGCACAAATGTCGGCATCGCTTTAATTATGCTTAAACACACCTGGTATATCCTCCATTGCTTGTTACAATTAGCAAGCCCCGCCTAAACAGTTGTGCGTACCTTAACATAACACATCCAGTAGATGTACCAAATCGCATGCTTGGCCTGTTACAAATGCGTGGTGTTTTTATACTTTATTTTCACGAGGTAATGTTGCTTTTTCAGAAGCACATGCCGTTAATCTTGCGGGCCACTTGTGACAGGTTTTCATGGTAACGATTCTCATCAAATTGGGACAAATTGACTTTTTCCTACAGTTGATGAGGGCCAGATAGTGCTGTAGGGGGCGCTTGGGTTTAAGCAAGAGTTGTTTTGTCAGTTGGGGTTTAGATTAATCGAAATTTCAACTGTTAGAATTTTTAAATCGTATTTAACGTTATGATTATCATATTTTTATTAAATAATCAAAAAAGGAAATATTTCTTTAAGTCAGTTAATTTTACATGTTCCTTATGCATATAATAATAAAGGTATGATTCAATTTAAATAAAGTCCATTATAATTTTTTACGATAGTTATAAATTATTAAATGTTAATATCATACAAATAACCCCTAAGCCTAACGACTCCTATGAAAATGAGCAAAGCGACTACATCTTCTTCACCGACGTCCCGTCGTTGCGTGTGTTATACTGAAAGATCCCTGTACTCACTCTGTATGTTTATATATTTGTATAGTTGACATTTTTTGCCAGTAATACTATCTCCGTGGTGAAAAGTTTATATGTTCATTAGGCTTCTGTTACGTGACCGGGGAACGCTCGGCCCTATCCCCCGCCACACTACACCACTCACGCTATTGTGCACTGTGCTGTGCTTATATTCTTTAGTCGTTCAAACAACTCGTTAAAGTTTTAGGTTTTGTTTATGGAAATAGAAAACTTTGCGTATGGAATATTTCAGATACATTATAAAATTAATCAAACAATTACACATAAAATACAAATACCCAAATATTGTTTGTACTTACATTTTTACATACATGATTCAAACTTTTAATAAAGATTGGATTAGTTTTTCAAAATGGACTTTATGATACTGTTAGTGTATAGCTTGTGTGCTCTGAGTTATGTATCACTGAGTTGTCATTTGACTATTCAATCAAGTATATACCTTTAACTAAAGTACCCACTATACAAAAGTAAAGCCTGATTTTGTTAAATAAAATCCACAAAGCTCTTTCTATAATCATAAACCTCCTCCCATATCATAAGAAATCTCTGTTAAAAGCAGATTCTATTGTAAGATTCACAATCAAATAATGACGTTTGCGAAAAGGTTAGCGTATCCCGCCCCACCGGTGGCACCTGTCACAAACACATGCAAAGGCAAGTCGGTTATAAAAAAAATATTGTTCGATTCAAAATAGGGAATTTCATGGGACATATTTTTTGTCACTGATTAAATGTTGTTTTTCCCCCTTGAAAACCCATATGCATAATCATTCAAATCTAGTTGGCAAATACCAATCGACAAAACAATAAACACTGACATATATATTCACAGGAACCTGTTTTCAATCTATGTTCGACGATGTTTTCCCCCTAAACTATCATGATTGAATTACAATAGTATTACGTCAACAATCTGCTATACAAGCGATGCTCCGTTTGCAAAGACTATATAAGATAAAAACCTTTATCGAGGACTTTCACATTGCTAGACCACACCCAATGTCATGAAACTGAAGATGAAATATCATAGTGAAGTTATACATAGCACTTAATATCCAGATTAGATATCTCTCCAGTATAAATATTTAACACTTCATGTAAATGTTATTTACAATTATATCATAATTTAAATTTAAATCAGTACAACTAAGTTTTTATTGAAATATATAGAATTACATATTTAATATTCAGGGAGATATGTGTTTTAACTTAAGTGTTTAGGAAATAAAAAATTCATGTCATCCATTTGAATGAAAATAGCATGATGCCCTCTCAGTTCCCTTTTGTTGTAACAGAATTCTGATCTCTTGTTTGAAAGAAATAACATCCTCATCATCAAGCCGCAAATCAAGAAAAGGACGATTGCTTCAGTGGAAATGTATTCCATTAAGATTATGTATTTATTTATGATAAAACGACTTTTAACAATAACACAAAGGACATTTGAATATGTGCCCATGCACTTTGTATGGATATAGACATTTTAGGGTAAAGATTTATCTTGTCTTGGCTTTATTTTCGGATGAATGTCACTGTATTTATTGTATTGGGTTTAGTTGTAGAAAGTATACGTTAATCATTGACTACACAACGCCGAAACGTTAAAATGATAAATGATACATTGGTAACGTCCCTGCCCGTATATTGTTTCCCATACATAATGAAAGCATGTAATAAACTAACAACGGTTATCTTCAGAATGTGAAAACAGTGAGAACAAACAAGTAGAATATAAAGACCTTATTGTCAATAACGTCATTGTGTATTTAACCATGATATTTTTATCTAACATTGACCGTTGCTGAAATATTTTCTTGTTTGAGATCTCCAAGTGAAACTTGACAATAGTGATACTGATGGCATCATGAACTACACGATATTTTGTTGTTGCAGATGTCGAGAGCAAAGATGACGATGACAGCTGCAACGACAGTGGCGGGGAGTCCCCAATAACCTCCTCTATGGTGGAGAGTTCTGACTCCGTCAGGAAACCCTCGCCCCCGGTGAGAGAACACCCTCCAAAGGTTCCTGAGAAGAAAAGGGAGCCTGAAAACACAACCACACTGCCACCGGTGTCATCAGCCAACTCAATACCAACAGCTTACAGACCCGGGCGACTCTCTGCGCTGGAAATTCTTGAACGCGTTTTCCCATTCCAACGAAAGACTGTTCTGGAGTTGGTTTTGCAAGGATGCAGTGGGGATTTAGTCAAAGCAATTGAACACTTCCTGTCGGCTCAGGACACTGTCTTAGCTCAACAGCAGGCAGTGTTACATGCTCAAAGTAGAGGGGAGTGTAGAGGAAACCCTTTTCTCAACGGACTCAATGGGCTAAGTGGACTCGGTGTTGTCAACAACAGCTCTCCAATACGACCAGTCAATGGTTCTAATAAACTGTCTTATGCAGGGATAAAATCTGCTTTTACTCCTTTGCCTCCAACATCAGCCCATCCCCCAGGTCTCCACTCAGCATTCAGCCCCCATATCTCCCCCTTCTCAGCAGATGCTCTTAGATCTCCACTGTTTGCCCATCATTCCCGTGCAAGTGACATCATACCAGCTCCTCACTTCTCATATGCGGGCTTGGGAGGGATGCATGGAACCAATCTCCCCGGGATGATGGGTTCCCCGTTCTCCTTTCACCCTTACAGGCTTGCCCCTCCTGATATCACCCCACCCTCAATCCGCACCCCCGACAAGAACAGCGACAAGTCAGGTCTGACTGACTCGGACCAAATCTCGGATGGCTGGGACGAATCCTCTTCACCGAGAGACTCCAAAGATATAGACTGAATATTGTGGACATTGTGTTTCTTGATATTGTAGAGGGTTACTGTTTGTGGATGAATGAGACTCCTATAGGGCGATAAAGACCTTAAAAAGTCAGGACATCTTCGGCCTTGACTTCTCATCCAAGTGCAATGCATTTACAAAGGGTTTCTGATACCCCTAAGGTCCAACATGAGCCTGTTCTGTCTAACGTGAAGTGTCTCTTCTGTAATTTAAACGCTAGGACATGTTGATGCAGCATGTAACTGTAAGTATTGTGTGGCGATTGTATGATTATATATAAAATATTAAAACGAAGAGGTTTCAATATTGCACAAACATTGACAGAGGGTATCGGATCGGAGAGACGTCACATTATCTTCACCGGATCGTTTGAAAGTGAAATCTCGTTGATGTCCTCGATGGGTTGTGTAATCACGATTCACATCAAAGAGACTCAAGTTGTGCCATAAGTAATATAGGAAAATACACTTGTAGCATATAGAGTTGCATGTACCAGCCCGCCCGATCGCATATTCTCTGTTGAGGTTTCGCACCACTATATCACCTAGAATAGACAAAAATCAGATACATGTGAGTGGGGGGTTTGTGACGTCGCCAAAAACGGTTGTAGTCAGGTCTAGTCACTCCAGTCAAAGAACAACTCCCGTAACGTATATGGCTTTGTAGACGTCCCGGCAATGTTTGTCCTGTGTAAGATTCTACGTGGTGTTTCCCTCGTCAACGTAAACCATTTACCTATAGCAGTCTCGGCTTCTTCACTTTGTAATGTATGCGCCTGAAGCAAACACTGAGGCAAGCCGATGGGGCAGGGGTGGAGAAAGGTTTAAGCGACCCGTCACCCGCAACAAGAGATTGCGAAACTGTTTAGCTAGGAAGACGGCAAGGGTGTTTACTTTCCCCCTGTCTCTTTTCAACCTCTTCATTGGCCGTGTTGTTCGCTAATGGTTTAAATAACGGCGGTAGAGCCCCGCGGTTCCTTCGCTGTCTCCGACGGACAATACGAGAGTAAACACCTTGCCGGCATTAAGTCGCCGAGGCGTGGCTAGACCCGTGCTCTCGTCGTACTTGTCCAAAGACAGGACCCCGGGTAGGTTACCGCAATGAAAACACCAATATTTCACTTTGTTAGTCGCTAGCTTCACTGTAACTTTATATACTTCCAGATATATTCACACAATAGATTCAAAAGAAGACACTTATCGTAGCGATGTGAAATACACACATGTATTATCCCTCCCAGGCCTTAACGTGATGGACTTAAAGCTCTTCTGGGGAATGTCGATGTTTCCTCTGCAATTGTCACTGTGCTCTAAACGCCGAATTGTTGTTACAAGGCTAGAAACAGTTTGATTTTAACTCTGTAGCACCATGACACGAGTAGGGTCTACTGTTTTGTGTCTGTGTAAATAACGTGTAAATAAAGTGCAATTTCAATGGCCAACGTTACATATTGCCTTATTTGTTCTGTCAGTGCCTTCGTGCCTTCCTTCCTGTTTCCCCCACAGTGATACATATTTTATACTGGCTCTAAAAGCATATGTAATAATAGGCAATCTGGCCGACGCCAGGGAGACGTTGAGGCTCAGGAAGAACTGTGGAAGGTCAGAGCAAATACCAAGAGTTGGGCTTTTTGACAGGATGTGGTGTAACTGTTGACAGTATTCACTGATCTACAGCTTCTCCAGTCATGGGAAAGTCTAGGTTTTATCAGCCCCAGCACGCCAGCCTATTGACATGCCTTCGACAGATACACACAGAAACAATATCCAAATGTAGATTTGACCTAATGACGTTGCAGTTCAAGTCATTTCAGGCGTTACCGCCAAACTTGAACGCCTGATTCTTCGTTGGTATTAATTTTCGGATTGTGATGTTTTAGGAATTTTATGACAAATTCTGGAGATGACAAATTAATTAAACATGTTTGAAATCTTTTAAAAGGGGAAACTTAGAACTAAAGCAGATTATAGTGAAAATAGGCCATAGAACATAAACCTCTTTCATATACACAAACTTGACAAGTATCAAATGACCATTTAGCTCTCCTTTGCGAAAAAGAACGAAGTACATTTACATTTTCATATTGTATGATTGGTTTATACATATAACCTTATGCAAATTAGGGGATTTGGTTGCATCTTCATCTATAACAAATACAAAATACATAAAAGCGACAAAACCGTTTCCATAATCATAAGACGTCTCGTCCATTGCACGAATTCGACTGCATGTACATTATTGCATGTGGTTATGAATCAAATAATGATTATGCATGGTGTACATTATATTCAATTTGACACCAATGACGATCGCTTCATATTGGTTATAACGGTCGTGGTAATATCGTACACATGTACATGCATCTGAAATCGTATTATTGTGCCGACGTCTATTACATACATAACATTTATGTTGCTATCCCAAAATATGTTTGTAGGACAACGATTTTGGTGGTTGTGGTTGTCCATCAGTCTTTTTGAAGAGATACTGGTGTGGCATTTAGAATGAGAGATACCCATACACAGCCTCATAAAATGACTTATTCATGTTATATTTTAATTAACATTGAGTGAGTGAGTAAGGTTCTACGCTGCTTTTAGCAATATTCCAGCAATATCACGGCGGGGGACACCAGGAATGGGCTTCAAACATTGTACCAATGTCGGAAATCGAACCCGGGTTTTCGGCGTGACGAGCGAACGCTTTAACCACTAGGATACCCGGCTGCCCCTTAATTAACGTTGACCGCTTGAAAGTTACCGACATAAGTAAGAATAAAGGATTGTATTTGACATACGCGCATGCCTTCGATATCATGATATATCTAAAAATACATATCTCCCTTTGAAGAAACAAGCAACAGAATAAGACGATAGATTCGTGTCACACTCCAGACTTCACTTCACACTACATGCATGTACATGTGTTGGCATAATGAGTCCTGTTGAGTTAAACGTAGTTTTCGATCACCCCCACATGACGTACACATGTAACATCCATCAGTTATCAGTATCAACAACACAAGGATGAAGATCAGTTATGAATTGCAGGTTTATACTCAAGTGAGATAAGAACTACAGTAAACTACGGTTATAACGAACTGACAGATATAACGAACTTACTTTATTGGTCCCGACAATTTGCTGTAGTTATGTTGTATATATGCTTATAACGAACTACGGTTATAACGAACTAATATTAGTAGTCCCTTTGAGTTCGTTATAACCGTACTTTACTGTATTTTGTGACAAAGAAATCGCACAGCTCCTGCTCTATACATCAACAAAACACAATAATTTGCTTTAAATATATAATCAGGACACGTGACTATATTTAGATACTTAATATCTAATATAACTATATGGGTGTAATGATAAGACTAAGTATAAGAAAAGAAAAATCTATTTAAAGTCAGTATCACTGATATTTCATTACTTGATGAGATATGAACACCCGCGAAACATTATTCAGGTTTTTCGTTTTAAACAAAAACCTTATGATCCCTATTGGATAAAATCTGAAGAACAAATAATTAATTTCTGTAGAGCTGAAACGGATTTTTTATACCTCGCCCAACAGTAATAACAAGCAGCATTCTAGGAGCAGATTTCCCAATGGATGATGAAAGGAAGTCAACGTAAGCCTGCTTTGCGTATGTACGTGTTCCTCTGTGGCGAGACATAGGAACCTCTGTTGTTTGATCTCTTAGCATGACAAACAGTAATAGAAGCTTCATGCAGATTTTCAAAACGAACGTGACCAAATGATTACAACAACATTTTTGTTTTGACATACATACATCACTGATATTTTATTTATATTGAATACATCTTGCATTCAATCTTGAAAGATACTGATGTGCGGTAACCTGTGATTACGTATGGATGAAAACAGTGAAATTGGCATTTTATTGTAGTATTTATCAGTTCTTGTAAGTGTTCTAATATCACTTTTTCATATTAGTTATTTTTATTACTGGTTTGAAATCACAGTAACACTTGCAAATATACTTGCTTTGATACTATAATAACAATAACCTCTCTTTAAGGCAAATGCAGTGTGTACTTAAAGGGGCTTATTGAACGTGGGAATGCGTGGGGTTGGGATCACATATATACATGTGTGGTATACATGGGATCAGCACTTCCATTGCAAACTTCCAACAACAATGAATAAATACAAATAACAGTGGAGTGGAGATCGAATGGAAAACGATGTATTAATCAGATGATACACGTGGAATCATTCCTGTGACAAACCTCCCCATTTGACGCCATCCGGGTGCCATCGGTGGGGCAGGATACGCTCACCTTTTCGCGAACACCTGTATCATCACTATTTCATAGTGATTCATAAACACGTAGTCGGAATCACACAACTGACTGCTTTTAGCAGATATGTCTTATGATTATGGAAATGTTTTGTCGTTTATTTATTCAGCATTATGTTACGGAGTATATGCCAGTGTTGTAAAACCATTCTAAATCAATAGAAACCATATGTTACAAACACCAGAGTAACAAACCCATATCAACTGTGGACACAGCTTAACGAATACAAACAGCACAGTATAAGGCAAACATCAATATAAACTGGGTGATATAACCACTGAATGGATGATAAATAGTTTCCTCAGTTCTCAACTTAAATGCTTTAATCACGAGGCACGTGCAGTTTTCCATTTTCTGTCTCCGTGTCGAAATCAGTAGTCAGAAAAGAGTGAGAGAAAAATGGTAAAAATATATGATGATATTGCCTGAAGAGGCCAGGGTTAAATTGGAAACAAACACATCTGCATAGATTACATATTTCAACGGATGTGAGACTGTCAGTCATTGATGGGTCATTACAGGGGTCGGTTCTTAAACTTCACACATACAAATATGTCTTACGCAATGAACATGAGATGAGCAGCTCAAATTAGGCTTGAGTTTGGGTTGTATACACCCCAGGGAAATGACATGGGCCCACTTGAACAAAGCAATCTTAGCGCTAAGACTACTGTAAGCCATTGTTAAAGTATGGGCGTTACGACCATCTTAGCGCTAAGATCGCTTTGTGCAAGTGGGCCCTGGACCTGGATACCCTCACCTTTTCGTGAATACCTGGAAACATCACTATTTGATATATATCAAAATAAAAAAATGCGGCAAAGAGGCTTTAGGTGATCCTGGCATTGTCAGGCTGGTTAGGCTCATCATCAGCTCAGGGCCCTTGCCCTCTCTAAGCGCAGCCCAGACAGCGAATGGGACTTCTCCCAGGAAGCGCTGCCTAGGCAAACCCACCCAGAACTTTTCGGAGAATGTGAAGACTCCCCAACACTACAGCCTTCTGCATTACCCAGATTGTCAGAAAGGCTGTATTCCTGGCAGCAAACTCGGGTACACTCCCAATGTAAGTCATCAGATTGGGAGGTACCAAACCTAAGTCACCGCGAACAATGGGGAGTCGGACAACTTGGTACTTGGGATGCAACCGTGAAATTTCGAATGCGAGGTCCGCATATTTGCCATGTTTATCCTGAGAATTCAATGATATAAATTATTTCAATGGATTTATGAAAACAGATTAGAGTCAGGTTTGTTG